CGCCGCTGTTCTGGTCTGAAAACTAGTCAAGCTTGGTTCGCTTATTTCATACTTAATCTCACCGGAGAACCAATCAACTCAACGCGGTCGAAGAACCACCGTCAGGCTTCGTTTTCGTCTTGCCCTCAGTCCACACATTTTGGGGTTCACCACTAGTAGAGTTTGAGCGTGTATCAGGTTTGATTTATGAATTTTATATTTTATTTACTTATTTATTTTTATTTTTTATTTTGCAACCCTCATCTTTCTCTCACCACTACCCTCGCCATACCCATGTATCGTTTGGTGTTCTTGAAATTAGGCTAGGGTTTTGATTTGAGAAGTTGGGGATAGTTAATTTTAATTTATTTTATTTACTTATTTATTTATTCTTTGTTTTTTTTTTTTTTCGCACATTCAAATCCCTTGGCTGTATGTTATTATTGGGTGGCTAAGGCTATTCCATTATGTTGTAGTCCATCTTAAGGAATGTGCATATATTTGTGAAGATATATTATTTTTTTTATCATGCTGTACAATTGATTTTAGAAGAAGTTAAATTTTCCTGTTGTTATCTCTCAGGCTTTGAATCAAAGGACGACCATTTACTATTGGCACATGAAAAATTTTGTGTTCTGCCAATCATATAAAGCAAGGAAAATGGACTTTTCTTCAGATGGACTTTCTATAATTTTCCGTCTAGCTTTTATTGGCAATTCTTGGTTTTAATATTATTTGAAATTCTGTACTAGGAGTTTTTTTTATTTTTATTTTTATTTTTATTTTTATTTTTTTTTAATGGGTGTGGATAATATGGGTTGAATTGTCTCTGGTCCTCTGTTCAGTTTATTTTACTGAAGTCCAACCTATGGCGTGCTCAATTATTGAAGGTCTATTGGCTATTATATATATGTAACAAATCCTTAATAGATTTCAACTACTGGCTGGAACTAAAATAACATGCTAATTAGAATAATCTTTAATTTAGAATAATTCTCTCAAAAATGGTTGGCACTTCTGTAAGTAATGTTATTGCTTCCCTGTACTAGCCTATAGTTTATAATTTTGGGCTTACTATACTGATTCTCAGTTAGTATTTTGTGGGCAATTACTGATATAATTCCTAGAATTACACTGTCATAACACTGTAATTATTTTCTTTGCTGACATTTATGGGTACTCATTTGTTGACAAATTTACCTTTATGTTTCTTTTATTCACTAATTTTTAATCCAGTGTACAATGGCACCAAAAGGAGGACTCATTCTCTAATGACTGAGACTCCTTCTCAGCTGACCATTTCATTGTCACCCAGGTTTCTAATTTATTTATTATAATTTATTTATTCATTTTTCAATTTATTTTTTTTATATATTTATGTTCTGCTGTGAGGACCCAGCTTAATTTTAAGTTTGGGGTGATTTTGTGATTATATGCTGTTACCAATAATCTTTCTAGTATTTGCTGATTGATGATAAAAATTCACTCTGTTTTGTATGCTTGATTATCTGAGTGGTAACTTGGAAATGATTTATAACCTGATATGTTTAACATTATCATTGCTTAAGTATAGCTAGATTTAATTAAATTAATTCCTAGTCAATTAAGGATCTAACTTAGTTGATCAGTATTTATATAAGCTGAAAATCAAATTACATGCCATAAATTTTTTGTGATCCCTGATTTGCTGATTCACTGATAAACCATTGGATTAACAACCCATGTGAGATATTTGAACCTAAACACTCTATTCTTTTGTGAGTGGTCATTGTGTATTGGTGTTTTGAATACTGCACTCTGTTTGGATGACTGATATGCTATTTCTGTGTGATTGGGGCATTGTTTCTGAATGTATAGCCTAGAGCCAAAAGCCTCACCCATTAATTATATCCCTTGGTCCCTATATTTGAGCCTGAAACTTTTCTTTTCTGATCATGTACCTTGATATTATAAGCCAAATTCCTTGTCCACCCTATATAGCTATCTTAGTATTTAGTTAATTCTCATTAGCTTAGAAATACAGTAAGCTACATAAGGCAAAGGGAAATTGGTTGTAAAAAAAAGAGAAAAAAAGAAAAAAGAAAAGAGGATCAGGAGGTAAAAAAAAATCGAAGAAAAAAAGGAACAAGTGATTTTATAAAAAGAGTTCTCTGTTTAAAAAAAAAGGGAGATCTTTGAGCTTGCCGTAAAAAAGGAAAAGAGGAAAAAGGCAAAAGTAAAAAAAATTGTGAAGGTGCTCAATAATAAAAAAGAAGAAGAAAGAAGTTATAAAAAAGGGAGAAGAGAGTCACTAATTTCCCTTTGTCTTGTTTAGGAAAAAATCAGAAAAAGCTAATGAGGATTAGTTAGACACTAAAGGGTTAGCTTAATTAGCCAAGTGACCAGAAAAACAAAGATCCTAGCCCTGCCTCATTACAAGCCTTAAAGACCCTTTGATGGAAGCAGCATATTGGACTCCAAGTTTCTAAATGGTAGTGTAGATTGGAAGCATTCATGCATGATGATAATGAGTGAACTTCCTTATAAAAGAGAAGAGTGTGATTGATTGAATATATCTGGAAAGGAATTCAGTGGAATGTCAATTGAATCAAGTTAAGTCAAGGGTTGCAACTGTTTGAATGAGCATGAATTTTTTGATTAAATGCTTATGTAATTGTTGATTGACTGGAGTTGGATGATTAATTTGTTGTAGGAATTGGTTGACATTAAGCCTGGTTAATGCTTTAAGAAGTGTGATGTTTTGCACAGATGGTTGATTAATTTAACTGAGTTATTGAAATTAAATTTGTGTTGATATGTAACTATTTACTTTTTTTAGCTAACAGGCTAAGTTATGAGTGAAGTTTGTCTGATTACTTGAGGGCAAGCAATTAACTAAGTTTGGGGTATTTTGTTAGCTATAAATTATGATTATTTTAATGGCTTTATTTTTACAATATTTGAGTTGAAGGCTGGATATAAGTGCATGGTAATGGGCCAAATGAGTACCAAACAGCCCAATAAGGTAAAAGAGAGAGAAAGAGATAATTTGATAATTTACTATTCTCTTTTACTATTTTTACTGCAGTTAGAGAGCCATATGATCAACTCTTTGAAAGTGAGATCAAATCTGAACCATTGAATGGACAAAAATATGGATGGACAGCAATGCAATTTCTTGGAGCTCTTTAGTTTCTAGCTAAATAGGAGTCTGAGTCATGAGGGCCACATATAGAGAACTTTCGTTTTTTTTTTAGTTTTCAGTTTTATGTTTTGAATCTTTTGTAATCTTTTTCTTTGAATCTGAGTGTTGAGAAATTCCTTGAAAGCTGAATGCTTGTTCTTCAATTCTTGTACTCGAAGTGCATTGACAACGCAACTTCAAGAAAAGGAACCACGGATCTGCATACGAGCTCCGGTTTTCCCATTTCTGATCTTTTTCTTCCTAGCTCTAGTTTAGGAACTTTGACTCTTGAAGAACCGGTTTGTAACTTTACTTTGAGTTTTCTTTCATTTTCTTTTTGTGATGCATGTTTCTTACTTTTAGATTTGTAATATTTTTGAATATGGGTTTCTGATCTTTTCTCTTTCTGGGATTCACGATGATTGGGTGATCTTTTACTTTTCTGAATACTGTGATGGTTTGCTTTAGTTTCATTTGATTAACAAGATTTTGATTTTAAGTTCAAGAACACCATGGGAATGGGTCTTGAATAATTTTAGCATAGCTATGATTGGGAAATCAGGTTATGTCCCTTGTTAATTGAACCCTTGAGGTTAGGGATAACCCAAGGAGGTCTTTGATACAATTTTTAAAGATTTAGAAGACTTTGGGAAAAGATCCTTCTAAAGATTAAAATCTGGAACTGGGAAGTTTCAGATAAAATAGCCATAGTAATTCGAATTCTGATACTAAAGTGCCGTAGCAGTTATAAAACGCAGGAATGCGAAATTTCTCCTTCATCCATGATTCAAAGAATTCCAGAACCTTATAATTGATACATTTGTGAATAGATATCCCTCTGTAAAATTTTGTTTAATGCAAGTTTGATAAATATCTTGTTTCATTTAGAATTTTCTTAGTTTTAAAAGATTGATTACTTAATTTCAAGAAATTAGAAATTGGAATTAAAAAGGAAAGTGTCAATCTCTCAATGGAAGAAGCACATAAAGTCAGGATCACTAAATTTTAATTGGACATTGTTATGATTGTTGAATAGTGAATTTGGCAGAATTTCTACAATGTGAAAATAGAAAAGATAATCCAGCTTCAAGAGGTATGATTCACTATTTATAGGATGTAGAAGATTCCCTTTTAGGGAACGAAGTATGATACCAAAAGTATTTTCAACCCTATGAGCCCACTACCATGAGGCACTGGCAGACCTACATAAACGCCAATGTCAGACACAAAATATTGTTGATGAAAATAATTTCAACAATTTTTAAGATGGGATACAACTTTTTGTCTATGTATTTGATGTGATTGTTGATGTAACTGGTTGTTATTTGCGGAGGGGATACACCCCTTTTGTAGCGAAGAGTTCAAGGAAAGATACTGTTTATCGATTGGTCTATTTGTTGATAAAGTTGACACTCATTTTACCGGTAGCAATTGCTAGTGTTAAGCAAGTTTTTTCTGCAATAACTTTTGTTAAGGATAAACTGCGCAATCGGATAAGTGATGATTGGTTTAATGTATGCATTCTAACTTACGTTAAACGTGATTTATTTGATAAGATTAATGATGAAGATATAATGTGATATTTTCAAGGAATGAAGAATCGAAAAATATTTTTGTAATTGTTCTATTGTAATTTGTAATAGCTTAGTTGACTCTTGATTACTATTTTTTTATGTTAAGTTGGAGTTTTCTTTTCTTTTCTTATTTATATATTCTTGCATTTAAAACTTTTTTAAAATACAACTTCCACTCCTCTCCTCCCCTGTTACAAAAGAATAATAGCACAAAGTAATTCATAACTAAGATGGAAATAGCAATTACAAGAATGTACTCATGATGGCGGACATAACAGCAACCATCATTGCCAATCCAGAAGAAAGAATTCCTCTGCAGTAGCAAGAATGAATCATATACACAAGTTGTTGAATAGCATCGGATAAAGAAATGTTGAATGTGTATCTATCAACTGCAAAGTCGAGAACATAGCTGTTGAGCCTCGGAAGAGCTAGTACTTGACAGAGGAAAAATATCACTTCTCCCATTGCTCAAGCATGTTATGTTGAGTTGGTTTCCTATTTGGGTTGACTGCAGCATTGCAGCAAAATATTAGTATCAAAACCAACTTAGATAAAATAAACTTTTGATAACAATCTCCTAAAATATTTGAAATTGCCAGACATTAAATCAACTACAGATTCTGTAACAAAATCATATATTTTCTTTAGTTACATAATTAGTTTAAGCAGCTTACAGATCTAGGAAGCTCCATGGATGGGAAGTACACAAGAAATGAGCACTCACCTCACAAGAAAGTTGTTGTGCATTGCAGCTCCATTTTGAGGTAGGCACACAACTTAAATAATGACACCATGAGCAACGATCATTCAAGTTAACACTTCGAAGGAGCATAATCAGTCCAGTGATCAATCTGTCAAAATTATCCAACTTTCAGATTTGGGGGCCTAGTGCAATGATGCTAAGCACCCAACAGAGATAAAATCGCAAAGGTGGCATCATATAAGATAATTAGTACTTCACAAGCCATAACATTCAATCAATATATCAGGGTAGCATGGATTTGTAAATCTAGCTATAGAATAGAAACATATGCAATATGATATCCAGTATCCAGTGATGAAAGATATACAAAGAATTAACAAAGAAAATTATCTCTGACACTACAAGCTTAATAGAAGACTTTCGTCTTTCCATTTGAGCTTTGGCTCTGTAGCAGCGTGAGTTGAGTCCCCACTAAAGTTGAGGGACACAGTCTAATTAAACTAGCAATTTCTAGCCTCTCAAGGCAGAGTTAAAAAGAGTTCTTTCTTTCTGTATATAAATGAATAAGACATAAATATGACAGAAGAGAAAGTAACAGAGAACAAGAAGGATCAGGAATCATCCTGAAATAGAGAAAAACCAGGAAGTTAAAGAAAGCTGTCCAACACAATTGCATGTCTGATAAAGAAACCCTCTATAAAGCCCATGAGCACACACTCACATAGAAGCTAGAATAACAACCCTTTCCCAACAAATTTTTTCAATCTTAAACCAAGCGGAGTGTTTGAGAAACAAGTATCAAAGTTCTAATCCTGAGTGAATACACCCTCATAGATATCAATGCATTCAGATCTCCTAACAAAGCAAAAGTTAATATTCAAAAAAGAAAGAAAAGAAATCAAAGAGACTTACCCAGAAGTCAGTAGTACGAAAGAGATGACCCACAGTACATACTGATAAGGTTTGTGCTTAGTAGCATATCCAGAACGGGAATTTCTTTGGCTAACCCATTTATACTGGGGGCGAATCAGAAGAACAAATCCAAGAAGAAAGCCAGAGACAAATCCTCCAATATGAGCAAAATTGTCCACGTGTGGAAGGATTCCAACAGCCAAATTGATTACAATAATGACTATAAGAGTCGACAATGCAGCGAGCTGCAAAACAACACAAAAAATTGAAATGGAAAAGAAATAAAATGGCTGTGGCACAAATACAGAGCGAATTATTTATCAGGAAGCACTATTGAATTTAACACATCAATTGATTCATTCACCTTATTGGCATATATTGTCCAATTTATTAAGAGCTCCGATAGCATCCCTCCTAGTAAGCCAAATAATGCACCAGAAGCACCAACAGAGATACCTGATTGTATGAATAGGGAAGACAGCAAACTCCCTCCAAAACCAGATATCACATACAGAAATCCAATTCGAACTGCAAAAGGAAAAACAGGGTAGATTTACAATCTTTAACTGAGAAGGTAAAATATGTCTTTTATTCGTTTAGTTGCTATCCAAAACATTTATGTAACAAACCCCCAGAAAGATTGGTAATATATATCCAAAAAAAAATAAAAAAGAAAGTGCAATGATCAATGATATACTTGAACAATGCAAGGATAATTACCAGAACCATACCAAATCCAAATTCTTGCTCAAGCCGAATTCCAATAAAAATAAGACTCAACATGTTGGCAAGTACATGGACAACCCCACCGTGCATCCATATACAAGAGAAGAGGCGCCAAACCTGGTGCCTACGAACCACTTTATCTACTTCTAGAGCACCCATCTTCTCTAATCTGCAAATAAATAAATAAATGTCATTAGCACATTAAAAACAACTCCAACAAATATCTACCTTACATGTCAGAAAGATTGGTACTACATATCCATTACATATCGTAATAATGAAATTCGGGTTAAATTTAAGTTGAAAGCTCAACAATTACATTACATAGATTTATTAACGTTAAAAGAAAAATCATATGAAAAAAAAAATCATAATAACATATCATTTTCAAAAAAAGAAAAAGAAAAAATGTTCTTGGATGAAAAGAAACTCACGTAGATGAAGAAGGACCTAAGAGGGGGTTCTCTTTGAGGGGTTGAAATGAGAATCTGCCCAGAAAAGAGGCAACGCATGAATTACGCAGTGAATGCTTAGGACAATCGTTCACATACATGGTCACAACGAATACAGCGACGTTGGCCACAACAAAGAACGGCACCAGCCATGGAAACCACCGCTTAAAGAGGCTGAAGTCACGATCGCGCGTGGGGGGGCTTGAGGCAAATGGCGGCGCGTTCCTTCCCGGCGGCGGAGGAGTGGTCGGAGGCCCCCGTCCAGGATGGACCGTGGCATCCTCACGGCGTGAATGAACCTTAACCTCCACATTGCCCGAAGATGGGTCCCTCCCCATTCCTTCCGTTTGACCAAAGATTTCAACTTTCTAACACATAGTATTAATTAATAATAATAATAATAATAATAATTCCGCTCCACGAATAGAAATATGGAAATGGTGTGAATATGTTGCTTTTGAATGGAGTTACCAGAATCCAACTAAGGACAGCGAAGTTAGGAATTGGAGGTTGTTAAGGACGTTGTTTGTTTGGTTTGGACAGGAATTGTTTACCAACACGTTAAAAGTTCAGTTGGTACTATCGCTATTTTGGTTAATTCTCCCTCAGTTCTTCTAATCTTTTATTTTGTTTTCTAATGTAAACGTTTAGTGCTTTCCTTCTCCTGTGTAGTAAAATATAATTTATCTTATGTTATAATGGAGTACATCAATTTTTTTATTTTTTTTTAAAAAGAGGGAGATCTTTTTATATAAGTGTAACATGGGAAATAAATTTCATACAATATGAGAGTATAATTTTTCAAACATTTATTTATCGTATCTTATACATCTCTTTTTTTTTAAAAAAAATTGAATACATACATAGTCTTACACTATTTTTTTTAGAGTTAACTCAACTATAATTAATTTTTTGAAGCGAGTTGACTTCTCTATATTTTCATAAACTTCAATTTTTTGAGATAGTTATAAAACTATTTTGGAGTGTGTGTAAAGAACATTAGAATACACCACCCCAAAAGCCCTTTGGGTTTGAAGCGTGGATTATGCACAGGCTCAATTTTTTGTTTACCTTTTGTGCTTTTTGTTTTTTAATTCCACTTTAAAGTGGAGGACGGTGAGGCTATGATACCATGTAAAGAACCTTGGGATACACCACCCCAAAAGCTAGCTCAAGGGGTGGGAGTGCCCAAGGCCTTATAAAGGTCATATTAGTTGCCCATCCAATCAATGTGGGACTATATATCTCAACACGCCTCCTCACGCAAGAGCCCTTTAGGCTAGAAGCGTGGAAATTGCACAGACCCATTTTTGGTTTACCTTTTTGTGTTTTATTTATTTATTTTAATTCCACTTTTTTTAAAGCGGAAGACGGTGAGACTCTGATACCATGTAAAAAATATTGGAATAGTGTGGAACGAATCAATAATGAAGATATTTAAATCTCACTCAAAGATAACGTGGAGTTCAAACCAAAACTTTTTTTTTTTTCGGTTATTGAACTCATTTCCTACCAATTGATCTGCCATTTGGTGCCTTGCACTACTTTTTTTTTTTTTTTTGATAACATTAAGGGGCGAAGCCCCAAGCCTTGCACTACTTTAATTACAAATACTTCACGTTTTCAGCTATATTATGTTTTTTTTCCCAGCTGTATTATGCTTTTGCTGCTGACAATGTAAGACAAAAATTTAAAAATGATTCCTGTCGAGTTTATTGCTATATAGTTGATAATTGAAACGAAATAATGTTCTTTGGCATGGATGAAAGTGATGGATTTATTTTATAACAAATCAAAGATGATTTGGGAGTAATAAAACTTAAATTTAAAATATATTGTGAAATGAGACAGCGTATCTATATTATTATAAAAAGGGAATTTTGAAAATGTATAATGTTTGGTTATTGGGAAACCTAACAATTGAAGTCAACATTATCAAAATAAAATAAACACCGAGACTTACAATTATAATTTATAATTGCTCTTTGACACGCCATTGACATAATTTGTATTGTTTTAAGCTTGGGGTTTCAATATTATTTTAAGTTGTCGGATATTTGCGCAAAATTTTTATAATGTAGAATTTTCACTATTCTAACTCTTGCACGAAGTCCACAGTGCATATGTGCATATAGTTTTGTCGTTATATATACAATCAACATAATATAAAAAATCGGCGTGACAACAAATATACAAAATTTATTTCCATTATTTTAATGGCAACTTTTGACGACAATAGTCTTAACGTTACCGGCTATAGTCAAATATTAGTGTGCTTAAAAAAAAAATTGTATTTCTTTTTTATAAAATATTTGGTACATGCATGAGTGTATTTCTGAATAGGCTCATCGGGAACGGACTTTAGTAAAATTCGTTGCATTTGATTGAATTAACTATCAACTTTTAAATTAAGCAATTTATTTCAGTATTTTTCTAAAATAAATATCATATTATTTTTTTAAATTATAAATTAAATAATAAAAATTATAAAATGAGTAATAAAATGTAACGTTTATTACATAATTTATGTTTTATAGTTAAAAAATATTATACTAATTTTCCGTGCATTGTAATGAAATGCATCGTAATATTCGTTGTTTCATTGTATTCTAACGAGGCAAGCACATGTTTAAAGAAACACAAATAATACTAATAAAGGTGGATCCTCTTGACTAAGGATTTGTTTCATATCCGTGTGGGTTCAAATTTTGTTAATCGATATGAGAATTTTATTGATAAGTGATATGTAATTTCACTTGAAAATTTTCAAAGATATTAGGGAGTCTTCTCTAACCCTAATAGGATATTGATGTCTAATCCAACTTAAACTTTTTCATTATAAAAAAAGAAGAAGAGGAAAACAAATAATGAACTATTTTCAAGAAATAGACTTCAATGTAACTATATATGTAAGCATCCTTACCTTCTTTTATTCTAGCATCCTAAAGCAATTCGTGCATTGTCTTTAAAGCAATACTGCGTGAGAATAATATAAAATTACACAAAATAATCAATGTGTAGATATCATACAATAATCATTGTTAATGGTCTTTTACTAAGTGGACACAAATTTTACAATCTAATATTATAAAAAAATATAATTTAATATTGAAAAATATGTAAATTTGAATGATTTTGCATTCATGAGTCTCAAATGATATTATACGTTATTATTTTATAATATTGTGCAACTCATCAATAAGGCGTTTGTAGTCCAACGGTTAGGATAATTGCCTTCCAAGCAATAGACCCGGGTTCGACTCCCGGCAAACGCATTTTTTTAAATTAAACTTTTTTTATCTTTTTTCTCTGAAGACCCTTGAAGCTCTTTACTCCCAAGTATTTTCATATATTCTCCACACTCCTCGCTTTAATTAACCTTAATCTTCTTTATCTACTTGTGTTCAAAGCTCATTTTGTCCCATATCACTTTCGAGGAAACAGGTTTATTCATTTAGTTAGGTTTCTTCAATACTTATAATGAAAAGGATCGAAAATATTCCTATTTTTCGGCCATTTTCAATCACAGCTTGAAATAGTGCTTATGAGGTTGCAAGTGTATTATGTTATCAAATTTTTTGTGTAGTTATGTTGGTAGTTGGAGTAAAACCTTATTGAGATTAGAGGGGAGGGAATAAATTGGAATTGTTGGACTATACCGTACGTTGAGCAATTTATGTAGCCATGCAAGGGTTAATATATAAAGTTGCTGCAATATACTTGTCAAAATATTTCTAGACTTCAACGCACAACAGTGATGAGGTTGTTTCCTCCATTGGTTTATTCTCTTTATTTTCTATAGAATTATTTTTTTAACATGCTGCTCTGCTCTTTGCTCTTTGCAATTTGTAATAGGCAAGGGATGCATATTACAGTGGAGAGCCTTTGATAGTTGACGACATGTTTGATAGAGTAGACTTAACATACATCACCGCTTTTCTTCTTATATAAACTGATCTTACTCAAAATTATGGATCCAATCAGTTGAAGCTTAAGTGGTATGGTTCGAATTCAGTTGTCAAGTATCCTAGATGCAGTAGTATCAGGAGGCAATCAACATATGCTGATGCTGAGGTAATTATCTCCATGAGTTGAGATTGACTTGTCGTTCTTTGGTCTGGCTTTGATCTCACATTGATGAAAAGTCATCAACTTCTTGAGTTTTGGTTGCATGATGCTCTAAATAGTGTAAAAAATGCATTGGAAAGAATGACGGTGGATTTCCCCTTATTGGTTCTTGATGTGGCTGAGAAAGTTACGTTTACGTGTGAACTGTGATATGGTGTATTTTTATTTAATGTGTCTAGTTTCTACATGTTTAGTGATATATGGACGGACATATTTATCTAGTTAGAATGTTCAGGTTCCCCTGCCCCCTTTTTTTCTTCTCTTCCCTTTTCTCTTGGTTTCTTCACATGCATATTGAGTGATGTAGATGTAGGGCAAGAAGATCCGTCTATGGTTTTTCCATTATCGAGCACATATATGGGCCCTGATTATTGCATTTGGCAGTTCAGCATGTCTTGGGCCCACATTGTACGCCATCAGCATGGCCTATCAAAATGCATTATGTTCTAGATAGCCCATACCCTTGAGGCCCACTAGCATAGGCCCAAACTCCCTCCTTACGTCCACGTCAGCCCTGTTGATCAGAGACCGCCAACCCTCCATCCTTTCTGTCTCCCATGCGACAATATTCCTAAGGCGAGACACCAAAATACCTTACCTTGGGATATTCACTCTGTTTGAGGGTCTTCTCATTCCCCCTAAATGAAAACTTCCCTTCTACAGATGTGGCAGCAGTGAGTGTCACGATCCTAGCAGAGGTTACATCGCTGCCACCACAACAGTGTCAGGCACCCCTAGCATCCCCCAAGGAAAGTTGACCCAGCTCACCTACCCACGTAAGGAGGGCATCTTCTCCTCCTATAAGTACCCCTCCATCACCAGGCAATGGGGCATCTTATGTACCGTTACACTGTCAATTCATATAAGTCCTGACTATCACACCCCCCCCCCCCCCCAACTTGTGATTCAGACTAGTGCTTGGGACGTTGCTGCCTAGCTTGATCTCTACCTTTGCTAACAGTAGCACCCATACAGTGATTCATATCCCCTCCAAGGGAATATATTGGGCATATAGTACTCAACGGTACACATTCCATTCAGGATTATCATATGGTAGCTAGCCAAGCATCAGGACTTGGGATTCTTATCATGGTGAATAACGTTATCTTCATGGCACTAGGTTTTGTCATTGGGTACTCAGTTGCTTCATCTTCAGGTAAAAATCCTTTTGCTAGTACTTTTCATCGTAAGTCTTAATTTTCCAATTTATACTCCAAACAATAGTTCAAAATAAATGACAAACCCTTTCATTTAGTTCAATTGATCAAATTCTTAATGGGAGAATTTTCGTTAACTCAAGAACAATATCCAACTATTCATTTCAATGTTACTGCTTCTATATCTGTATGTTATTAACTGTCCATTTTCATTTAAGGTGCTTGAAGGCCTGTGAAGGCGTGGCACTAAAGGGTTCATGTCCAAATTGTGGAGAAGAGGTCAGTCATTGCGTTATAAGCCTCTGGTTTCTTTTCCATCTTATTCCTCAACCCTGTGTTCCTATCTGTCTAGCTAGAGAAGTACATATTTAATGTTTAACTTCGCTTAAATCATCCTCTCTGAGTTGGATTCATTTTCTTTCAGGTATTTGCATTTGTGAGAATGGACAAGGCTAATAACTCACCCCATAGAGCAAATTGTCATGTGTGTGAATGCATATTGGAATTTCGCACCAAAGTCGAGGTAACAAATATAGATTGTGTTTACTTCTTGGAAAAGACAGTTCATAAAATTAAACTGCTATCGAATTCTCATTTTATGAATAGAGAGAATTGAAACACAGATTGTAAAGCAAGAGCTGGAGGTATTTTGCTAATGACTCGTGATGTTATCATTTTGAAGCAATCGGCTTCAAGATTAGGTAGACAATGAGTTTAGGGGCGTATTTACCTTGTTGGCAGATCCCGACGCCAAAGGGAGCTATAAATTTTCTTCTCATCTGTGACTTTTATGATTGTGAATAGTGAGGATCAGATTAAAACCAATTTCTGTTTATTTCTTAATCTTAGTCTAAAACAGTTTTTCTGAAGCCAACTTGTAACACTGTTCTCAAAAGATGGAGTTAACATGTTAATGTGTGGACACCTAATTTCTTTGATTAGATTACGTGTTCCTGTTACCATTTTTTTTTTCTCAAGCTCGGGTGGCTATAGATATTAAATGTAATTTTAGTTCTAGCTATGAATAATGGTTAGATGTAAACCAAGATGTGTTCAATTACCTTACCAATACTAAATTGGTCTCAGCAAAAAAATAATGGACCATTGGATTTAGAGTTACCCGATTTTAACCAATTACCCACTTTTAAACCTCATCCATCCCATACTAGTAAAATTTGAACCTTAAATTTCTGTCCCCATGCTATATATAACCACAGGAACGGTATGGTTCCAGGAAATAAAGTTTTGCTGGCACGTAAACAGTTGTAGCAAATGTGTCATTTCTCAAGTCGAATAAAACAGGTATCCGCTTGCGTGAAAAGTGCATCGCTAAGTTACTCACTCATCATGAAGAAACATCTGACGTAACAGCCATGGACATATTGCAACATTTATCTTTGATTGCAAACATTTTACTGGCATAAGCTACACGCGAGCGACAGACAGACTCACTTTGCACGCGAATTTAAAACTTCGACAACTTTATTTCCAGAACAACGAGAAAGACTGATGTTTTATCATTATTATAAAAGGTCTTTTTAGAAAAAGGAAGGCACATAAAAACTTTCAATGGAATTCACAGGCATCATAACTAATTGTGGTGGAACTCTTTGTAATAAATTTTTTTATCTATTTATCTCAAACCAGGATGAAGATTCTATGTCCTGCAAATAGTCAATGAGCCTCAGCTCAATTTGGCACCTGGTGTTGCCTTGTGTGCAGAAGGGGTGTTCGATCTACCATGTGCCCCTCTAGTGGGCATCAATGGGGCCTCCCCTAAGCCCCATAAAATACAACTCTCACAGCTTCAGCAGCACAAAAACAAAATTCGGAACCTGTGTGGAATAAGAGATAGGAAAGCGCAGGGTTAATCTTGACAATTGCAAAAATATCCTTCGGAATTTGCCTGCAAGACCTTTATTTCACGGTTCAATAAACATGATTTTGATTGTCGTCAATTTAGCAGTGTATAATTTGCTACAACACGTGGTGTCATTAGGAATGCTGGACTAAAACAGCTACTTACCATTCATGGAAAGCAGAAGCAATTGTGTTCATGCTACACAAAACCAGAACGTTTTTACATAGAAGCAAAGCAAATAACCGCAACACAGATTTTTCTCAATGATTTCAAGTAAATATGGCCCAACATGGAATCAAATATAACCTCTTAAATATTTCACTGACGTTGGGAGATATTGGCAACACTTCAAGTGCCCGGCCAATCAGAAGTGTGCTAAACTGTAAACTAAAATCCAGGAAAGCTGCACAGATGCAAAAAGCAAGGTCAGATTAGGGAACACCTAAAGCCAGCTATTCTCTTCTGTTGTGCACAGAAGCCTTACTTTGTGCAGTTAACAGAGTAAAATAGTATATTACCAGGAAGAGAGTTACAGATGCAAAAAGCCCCTCTTGGAGGAGAGCTCCATGACCGCCAAACTCTTCCTCATCAATCTTCAATATTACCGAATAATAACCATATATGATCGCGGTGGACATTGCTAAAAATCTGCAAGAAAAACGGGAAGAATAAAATAAAGCTTTTACAAAGAATACACATCAAACTTAACAATAGTGTTAATCAGATAGTTTCCCATGACACTGTAGATGATCTACAAGTGCAATGTTAAATATAGGGACAGAAATTAGATACAGTTCCCTAGGTGCTTGTGGTGTTGTTTTCCAGTAAAAACAAAATGTACAGATTATTTTTCCGCTACCTCATTCTCCTTTATGAAGTTCTCACAATTGAGGTGTAAAAAACAATACACGTTATATTTTGATTGGAGAACAAGATTACAAGCACCTATGGAACTTAAGAGACTTTAGTCAAAAAAAATTTAAATCAAGCCTTAGAAGAAAAATACACTGCCAGAAAAGAAAATAATGAAGGTAAGGATTCTAGTTTGTACAAATCATTTTTCTAATCTCACAAAGGCAACAAGAGAATGATAATTTGAGCCAGAGAAATTTTATAACTCTTGTCTCAATAATTCATCAATTCTTATAATACATGATGGTTAAAAAAGAACCAATTTATGCAATGCAAGGTCACTTGATCTCAGTAGCTTAACCTCATTAATGAATTTATTCAATACGTCTCTAGATGCTTTCCAAAAAATTAAAATAAAACAAGATATACAGCTTCAACAAATAATCACACATTTAATTGATAAAAATAAAAATGAAGAAATATTGATGTCAAAAGATATGATATTTCTAGGAGGCCACCTCCATTATTTGTTGATTTCATGTGTTGATGCCTAATAAAATATACACATATAGAGTTTCACAATTTCTGTATTTACAGCGGCAGATTAATATGCATAAGATCCGCCATTGCTACTTAATTTATGTCAAATCTCAATTGCTTTTAATGACTCTAAAACATTTCTTATGTGCACCAAGACCCCTCTATCACAGATGACATATATATGATGTCAGTTTTGTTTTTTCCTTTTTAACAACTCAATTATCAACTACTCTTTGGTAAAAACAGCAATCTTCTCACTGTCTCCTCTTCACTGAAATGTAATGCTGAGTGTCAAGCAAATGCTGTGATCACAATTCATAAGAACAAGGACACTCAATAAAATCTTATTGCCAGCATTGGTCTTTCAGACTAGATATTTTCAGATTTATGCATTGCGTTTGCATCAAAGGTTGTAGGCACACAGTAACAAAATCCATGACCATATACATGATATCACAACATCAATGAATATGAGAATTTGATAAACAACCATTTCACCTAAAAGCTCAAGCTATTAAGTGAAGGTCCATCAATAGTTTTTACATTACATCTCTCTAACATTGATAAACAACCATCTCACCTAAAAGCTCAAGTTGTTAAGTGAAGATCCATCAATGGTTTTTATATTATATCTCTCTAACAGAATTCTTGTGAGAGTAAAGTATTGGGCAAGGCAATGCCACAATGAGATACACAACTTTAAGATGAACATACTTAACCGATAAAACAAACACTTACAGGATAAACCAAATTCCCCCAACCAAAGGTAAGGTACCCCAGAGTAGTCCACATACAAGGCCCAACACTTGTCGAATCCAATGCAATACATCTCCCAGTTGATCCTACTTGTGGTTAGAGAAGAGATAGACAAATACAGAGAAGCTGGTTAGGATACTGCAACCAATTCAATTATTTACTGCATGGAACAACATAATAAAAGCAGATCGTGTAACAATTACTAATTTTAAATGCAACATTATACGTTCTTAATCAAACACTAAAAAAAAACTAAGAACCTATTAGTGACATGCTTTGTTTAGTTTTATCATTACTCCAATTCTAAAGAGAAAAGGACAACAATCCAGTTCACTGTGTCTAACGATGATCATTTCAGAGTAAATACTAAAATTGGTCCTCTAATGAATGGAACAGGTCCTCCAAGGATTTTGGACATCAACTTGATCTTGGTGCTTCGTAGTGTAAACACCAAATTGATGTTCAGATATATTGACAGACTAAATTAATGTCCCTTTAAAACATTAAGAGACCAAATTAATGTCAACATAATATCCTGTCCAAATTTGTTGGAGTTGAATATTTGCTCATCATTTTGATTTTAACACAATTTCCTGAAAGCACCTCAAATGGATCGAAAATACAACATCGAAGAAAGAAGTAAAAAAACACAAACCTTGTCCCAAGAAGCTTCAGGATCAAGCAATTTCGCGAATTTGGAAGAGGAGAGGTGACCGTTCTGGTGCTGCTGTTGATGGTTGAGTTTAACAGATTTACCACCTTCTTTCATCGTGAGAAACGAATGATTCGGGCGAGAAGAATCAAAATAAAAGGGGGGGAAATTAAATGAATAATGGGAATCGAACTAGTTGATATAAAGTTGAGATTTTTGAATCTAATGCTGCGAGATTAGGTTATGAGAAACGGCGACAGTGCAGAGTGGAAAGAGAGCGCATTAGGGTTTGGTTGGAGGTAACGAAGACAAGGGGAATCTGAAAGAGAGAATCAAATTGGAGAGAGTGACGAATAAGAACTCAACTGTGAATTAAAAAATTGAAAATACAACTTTCGGATTCTATCTATCTGTCTCAAGGTAGATGCCAAGATAAATCAAGGTGGTGTTGGGTCGGGAGCTTTTTAGTAGATATCTATCTTTATTAAGTATGGCTTTTAGAAATATCATATTTGTTTCAACGTTTTTCACCAAAAACTCATCTATTCAATTTGTTTGGATTTATGAGAAACATAGATATCCGCACTGTTTAGAAACCCAATTTGAAGGTGCGATCCAATTTGAAGGTGTGAGTATCTGGCTTTTAATGCACTGTTGATTTCATAAAGTTACCTAATTTTCCCAGTAAGGTTTTTCCTCACCAAACAACTTTTTTTTTACATTTTTCTACCTATCTCACTCTGTCTATCTTTCCAATCATTTCTCTATCTATCTCATTTCCCTACTATTCCAAAAAAATTTCCTGAACCAAAAGTAAATTGAAAATACTCTTTTTTGGTCGTGGGCAAATTTTACGAAACTCGTTTTAGTTTCTAGCAAATAAAAGGATCCACCGTGGTTCTTAAAAAATTCAAAATGAACCCATTTTAGTCCTTTTAGTCCTCAAAAGGACTAAAATGAGTCCATTTTAAATTTTTTAGGGATCACGATAGACCTTTTTATTTGTTAGGGACTAAAGCGGGCATTGTGAAATTTGCTGAGAACCAAAAAAGGTATTTACTCTAAACTTAATTAACCCAAATTATCAAGATCTGTAATGTGGTGCTGTTTGTCTATATATATTTATTAAAAATATCCTATATAATATTATTATTATTATTTTTAAGTTTTTATAAATTAATTGCTATTTTAATTTTTTTAAAATATAAGCCATAATTCTAAATATAATGTATTAAAATATAGCGATAGGAGTTTACCAACAAAATATATAGCGATAGGATATTGTGTTTATTTTATCTATTCGATCAAAATATCAACTCTTGAGATTTTGATCTAACACTGTTAAAGATGAGTTGGTACGTTTAAGGACACAAAGTTAATTTTAGAAAGAAAGAAATATCTTAGAGATAGATTATCAGATTACGAATAGGTTAAAATGAGAAAATATGATAAATTTATCATATTCCATTGTTCCCCAAATAATAGTTGAGAAGACGATATGATAAATTATTATATTATAAACATGTTAATTATCTCATAGGTAACAAATCAATAAATATAATATTAATATTTATAATTTAAAATACTATTATATGTCATGAAGAGTTAAAAACTTTAGACATTTTTGGTGTTACATTAATAAAATACTTTTTTATATACTAATTATTTTAATAGACTAAAGTGTAAATTAGGGTAAAGCATGCCTCATTGCAAAGTCAAGACCACTAACCTCAATAACAATAAGAGTTTATGATGAGATTACATATTGCCTAATGCCTATTATCAAGGAAAACCCAAGAATCGAATTCAAGCTACATAAATATATTTTATATACTTTATTTTTTACCACCAATAACGTGGATTAACTAGTAAAAGGTTGTCGATCATGTGGTCCTACTTGATTAGAATTGAATTAATTGAGTAATCAATGAACTGATAGATTATATCAAAACAAAAAATATAATTGATTTTTTTATGTATTTATGAATTATATTTATTGTTTATTTCATTTTGCAAATTATGACAAATATCTATATATTTGAATAATTTTATTTAAATTCTGTACATTTCATTGACAATTTTTTATTTATTTATACTAATGATATTAGTATAAAATATATCTAAATTCTTTTATAAATATATCTAAGTATAAGAAACACAAATCTTGCTTAGTCTCTTGGAGAAAAAGTTATTTAAATATATTTAATATTGAGTTAGACAAATTTTATAAAAAAATAAATATTAATAATTATAAAATAAAATTTGGTGAAATAATTATAAAGATTTTATGTCCTCAAAGTCTCACTTGACACGTAAGAATTAACATAATGAATTTTTTCATTTGAGACTTTGAGTTGTGAATATAAAGTTTAGGGAAAACTGCAAAAAATCCCCTACAAGTTTCCTCAAAATCACTTAATCTCCTCCCCAAAAATTTTAATCATTTATCCCCTCCTTAAAATTTCTTTATCACTTATCCCCTAATTTAATTTTTCATCCAAAATTTTGTTAACAGAGTTACATTTTTTTATAAAATACCAAAATTACCCTTAATAGAAAAAAGAAAAACATAATTTTCTCACAAACGCAGTTTTAGACGAACTCACAGAATATATTTTTTTAAGGTAGCCTTCTTAGAATTAGTAATTATTAAAATTATTTCCTGCAAATCTCATTGTTATTAAACACTGCACTCGTAATTGTTGGTGTCGTTGTTCAAATAAAATGATTAAAGAGGCATCATCACAGCAGGTTTAGATCTTCCCTTTTTTGTTATAAGCTTATCTGCTATTATATGACCAATAAATCTGACTTTATAAATTTATTCAGAGCCGCACTTTATTTTACTTGCATAGCAACTGAAAGGCTTTACGTTCTGTGCTTCATATATGCCTTATTTTTCCCTTAATCATATGATATTACCAAGCAAACATGCAGAAGATGCTATTTTGTTGTTTTCTGTGTCATTTAGAGTAGAGAGAGGATTCAATCGTTGATTTACATTCATGTCTTGCTTACGTGAGTTTGTTGCTATTTTGTTATTTTTCCCTTAATCATATGATATTACCAAGCAAACATGCAGAAGATGCTATTTTGTTGTTTTCTGTGTCATTTAGAGTAGATAGAGGATTCAATCGTTGATTTACATTCATGTCTTGCTTACGTGAGTTTGTCTAAAATTGCGTTTGTGAGAAAATTATGTTTTTCTTTTTTCTATTAAGGGTAATTTTGGTACCTTTTAAAAAATTCAACTCTATTAACAAAATTTTTGATGGAAAATCAAATTAAGGGGGTAAGTGATAAAAAAAATTTAAGTAAGGGAATAAATGATTAAAATTTTCGGGTAGGGGTTAAGTGATTTTGAGGAAACTTGTAGGGGGGTTTTGGAAGTTTTCCCTAAAATTTAAAAGTACATCTAAAAAATCAAATGAAAAATAATTATAAATATTTAATTGAAACAATTCATATAATACACATACATAATAACTAATTGATAGAAAAGGACTTTTGGTGGAAACATCAAGCAGTGCACATAAAATTATTTATTTTTCTATAATAATATTATTTTAATCTGTTACGTACGTTAATTTTATAATTAAATAATGTTAAGAACATATTTTTTAAGAAACTTTTTATTAGTAAAATTAAATTTGATATTTCATCATTTGAATGAGGCAGCCATCATGGTATCGGGTCAGTTCTTGGATCTAGAACATGCCTACTCTTTTTTTAGTGATGTTAGTATAAAATTTCATTCAATAATAAATTAAAAATATATTGAAAATAGAATTTCAACAAATGTCATTAATATTTTTCATTTATAATTTTATTAAATTTAAATATTGTTCCCTTGTTATAGTTCATTTTGGTTTGTGCTAAACCTTACATTCCACTAAGCATTTTATTTTTAATAAATCTCAATATGTTGAGAAAACATCCATTCGTTAATCAAACTTTATTTAGTTTACAATTTTTTCAAGATACGTAAAGTTAAAAAAAAAAATTGAGAAATTATAAAAGGAAACACTATGCTATAAAGGAAAGGTAACATTTTGCATTAGGTTAGTTTGGTGATTGGTTGATAACTTAATACATTTAATAATAATAATAAAAAAAGAGTTCATCTGAATCAAAACTGTATTACCACTTAATGATGCTCACAAGTGTTCAAGAGTGAAGGACGACGGAACATAAATTTAATTTTGGATATTGTTCGATCAAAGGGATTGATGTTTATCTAATCAGCAATGAAAACGATGCGATCACTAGAGTTTATAGCAATGAGAGGGTCTTTGACTATTTATAGGAATAGTTTATATCAGCATGTGGTTGAGCTTAAATAAAATTCCTTTTCCTTGATACGCAAGGACCATACCCAAGATCCATAAAATCGATGCCATCATTTCAATAGAAAATAAATAATCAACATTACATACAATACGAGTATTATATTATGAAACGTAATCTGGCTTTGAGCATATAATAAAATACAATAGTACTTAATTTATTGAAGAGTATGCTAGTTTGAAAGAAAGTATTAGTAATTAATTACAAAGGCAGAGGAAAGTCAAAACATATTTTCCTTTAATTGTGGCCGTAAAAGACGATCCATGCTCCATTCCCATATTTTTGTTGCTATACACACGCGCCATTAAAGTAGCGTCGTGTGTTTACGCTGATGACATGACACTGCATTTGTAACACAAAACACAGACACAACTCCATACTGCAAACAAAACCGTTACAAACGCAATCGAAACTGAATTCCCTGTTCTCTTCTCTCTTAAGTATTTGAATTGAACACTCAAATCACTCATCGTTTTTTCTTCCCAGGCACTACTCTGTTTCCAATTTTCATTTCAAAACCAATAAAAAATAAAAATAAAAAAATTGGCAATTTCATTTGCTTCAGCGTCGAGGAGCCATCGTCGATTTCTTTTCCGTTTTGTCTGATCTTCTGAATTAGGGTTTTTTTTTAGAGAAATGGGTAGCTCCGAGAAGAATGAAAATAAGGGCTTTTTCGCTGCCATGAGTTCCGGCTTGTCCATGTTCAGCAATGCCATGCACCGATCTGTCAATGGGTACTTCACCTTCACCTTTCCTCATTTTATGTCAAATGAAGATTTCCATCATTGGATTCTCTTATTTCTATTCTTATTCATGCCTCTATATAGTTATATATATATTCCTATGTGTTGTGTCTTCATATATCTCTCATCTTATAGTTTGAAGTGCCGTTTACAACACCGGATGATTATGTAATATTTTTTGGCTTTTATTACTTGGAGCTTGACATCAAGTTCCATTAATCTCCGTTCACTTGTGTCCTTCAACTTGCATTCATATTGTGACAAGCAACCAACTTACATTCCCTTGTTACTTGTCTCTCATCTTATTCCACTTGATACATCTCAAGTGCATAGATAAGCATACCATATGAGGTAAAGACATAAATTTTGATCCAACTATAATAAAAGTGGTTGTAAGTATAACCTCTCCCCTTATAAGTATTGAGTACAGGACAGCAAAGACGTTATTATTATATTGTGGTTAGTTATTATTTCAAATGACTAGATGAAAGAATTATTGCTCCATGTACTTGTTCGTAGTCGTACTTCCTAGCTCTCAACACCACACTAGCAAGACTTATTGGGTAGTGTTCCATCAAGGATCTGCATTCAAGAGTAATATTCTACAGTTATAACTTCCAACATTGCAATTCTTATTGTTTTTAGTAACAAAGTTTGATGCTTGTAAACCGAGGTTTATGAACAGTTCTATCGTAGAATTAGATTCAGCCCGTTGTTATGTTACAATGTGTTCCCTTGACCATGTGAACTACTAGAAAAGGTAACTGGCTGTTTATCTAAATCACTTGCATTCTCAAGCAATGCAGAAAGCCAACGGAAATTTTATCCCAAACCTTTTGGTCCATGTACATCATTTTATGATGCTATCATCAATTTTAGTTTCAGATTTTATATCTTTTTCAAAGGATCTTGTCAGTTTCATCACTAAGAAATGTTGTGATTTGGAGGGGAACGTAAACTTGTGGGTGTTTCTCCTTGATTCTAGGATGCTGGGATATGAAGGGGTAGAAGTCATAAATCCGGAGGGAGGTAAAGATGATGCAGAGGAGGAAGCTCAGAGAGGAAGATGGAAACCCGAGGTCCTAATTTTCTTTCTTTGTTTTTTAATGTTATTTTATAATTCTAACTTTTTTTTTCATTACTGCTTTATTTTTTACTCCCTGTTTAGACATAAAAAAATCCTCATGGTTATCACTCCTCTGGCTCCCTTAAATTATCTGATTGTGTTGTTTTTTAGTTTCATTGATTATTGAGGATAAGGATGCTGCCCATTTTTTTAGTTTTATTTTATTCTTCTTTCTCTTCTTTAGCACATGCCTGATTCATACTTGGTTGTGATAACATTATTATTTTTTCCCCTCTCTTTGGCTTTTGTGTACAGGAAAGAGATAGTTACTGGAATATGATGCAGAAATATATTGGCTCAGATATAACATCAATGGTAACGCTACCAGTTATTATATTTGAACCGATGACTATGCTTCAGAAAATGGCAGAGGTTTGCATAACTTTATTCTTTTTCATAATTAAATTGCTTTATTTGTTTGTATTGGTGTTTGATTGAACTTCGAATTGCCTGAACTAGATATTGGAGTACTCCCACTTGTTAGATCAGGCAGATGAATGCGATGATCCATACATGCGGCTGGTGTATGCAAGTGAGTTATTTGTTCCCCTCTTATTTCTTTCTCATCTTTTAATCCTTTTATTCAATTGAATTGAATTGTTATCTTAAGAGATAATGGAGTGCATAGTTGATAAGAATGAATAGCATTCTATCTGGTTTTGACATGTGATCAAGGATTTAGATGATTTTTTTTATTTCATTTTTTGATAGAAAAGGATGTACATGATTGATCCCTAAATATTTTCTGCTATAAGGCCTGTTGTATTAGTTCTTATTCTTCTAATTGCAGTGAAGTATCTGTAAGCCTTGTGCATGTGCTTTCTGCTTATTTCTTTACCTTTGTAACTAATCTAATCATCACAGCATCTTGGGCTATATCTGTGTACTATGCGTATCAACGAACCTGGAAGCCTTTTAATCCTATCCTTGGAGAGACTTATGAAATGGTTAACCACAATGGGATTACATTTATTGCAGAACAGGTATTTTCTATGTATGTGATTCTAATGAGAACTTTCTCGTTCTCTCTCTCTCTCTCTGTCTTTCCACACTTTTTAGATCATGTTTCCTTTATTGTTAAGACCAGCATTTGGAGGAACTGCTATCTTCTTCTCATGCTTATTTTCTTTTGCATTGTTAGGTCAACACAATAGTTTATGGATTTTTATTTACTTTTATCTATTATCTTGTCCCTTATATTGGATATCTTATAGATATATATTTTTAATTTCAGGTGAGTCACCATCCCCCAATGAGTGCTGGACATGCTGAGAATGAGCATTTTACATATGATGTGACCTCGAAGTTAAAGACTAAGTTGTTGGGAAATTCTGTTGATGTTTACCCTGTTGGAAGGTGATCAATACATTGTATTTGTTTAGTTGATTACCTTACTATCTTATTCTATTCTTATTGTCCCTGATATTGTTTGTATTCTTCCAACTTCGTATTGCTGCATTCCCATGCCAGACTCTAATTGAGAGTTTGCTTATTATCTCTGTGCTCTTAGAAGATAGGGTTATGAGTATTTTCTTGCTGGGTAGAGATGACACATAATGGTATTTGAAGCATATTTGGTATGTCTGCTCTAATCTAATCACAACACTTTCCGAGAATCTCAAAACAAGTTTGTCACATTCAGTTTTGTAATGAGTCTTGATAAACTAATGCTGCGAGATGCAGTCTGTATAATGCTATATGAATATACACTAAATTATGCCTCCATTTAACTTTTTCTGTTCTCAGCAGAATTGTCATTTCCCCCCCAATATTTTTAGTCATTTTCTAGCTAGGAAGTAATTTTATGTTTGTGGATCATTGTTTTCAGAACACGTGTAACCCTCAAGAGGCAGGGTGTACTTTTAGATTTGGTGCCACCTCCTACAAAAGTTAATAACCTGATATTTGGCCGGACATGGATTGATTCACCTGGGGAGATGATAATGACAAATTTGACAACTGGGGACAAAGTTGTACTATACTTTCAACCATGTGGATGGTTTGGGTATGTAACATCATTTTCTTGTATTATTTTTCAATGAAAACGTTTTTGGTTGGTTCGTACTAGTACTATATTGGATTTAGATTCAACTTGTGGCATTTTTGTCGATGCTATTTCAGTTTGACTTCAATGTCAATGAAATTAAAATTAGTCTTAGAGTGTTATAGCATTAAATTTCCCTGTGCCACTTGACTATTTGATCTGGTTGTCCAGTACCTGTAAAAAGGGCAACCAAGTGCTATAAAGCTCCCACTATGCACAGGGTTCAAGGAAGGGTTAGACCCATTATGTGAGTCTATGGCAGTTACCTTGCATTTGCAAGAGGTTGATCGCATAATTGGAACTTGTGACCTCCGAATCATGTGGCAACAACACTAACTGTTGTGCCAAGGCTCCCCTCATTACTTATTTGTGCATTTTAAAATTGAGGATTTTTTAAAAATGGAATTGAGTGACTTAAACACTCTCTCCGTTTATTATTTCTATATTGTACTTCATCTTTCTCCATTCAGATATTAACTTATTTAAATAGCATATTTTCAGTTTATACAACCTTTCATATATCCCAGATTAACCTCTATCTGTTTCCTGATATCTCACAGGGCTGGTCGCTATGAAGTAGATGGATATGTTTATAATTCTGCCGAAGAGCCTAAAATATTGATGACTGGGAAATGGAATGAGTCAATGAGTTATCAACCTTGTGATTTGGAAGGAGAGCCTCTTCCAGACACAGAATTGAAAGAGGTGAATTTTCTGTTTTAATCTTCAAAATGATAATTACCAATTATCTGCTATTGGAATGTAACTTTGTTTTTTAATACTTGATTCCTGCTTTTTTCTTGGTCTATTTACGAATATGAAAGAGCACACATCAGTTTAAGAAACTTCATGATGTGATGGAAGAAGACAAGGATATATTCAAGTTTATTTTGATGATTTGTGATGCATTATGTCTTTCTCCGTGTAAAAATAAATTATTTGCAAATCAGTTGACAATAAACACCTTCATAATCCTTTAAAGTGTTGATTCTGAGCTCTTTGATTAGATGTTAGAATCTGTTGCTATCAAGAATCTGACATGCTACTTTGAAATAGAAGTATTTTTACTTTTATACTTTTTGCTTATATACATTAACTGGTGAAGGAACTAACAAAATTACTTATAATTGTTATTGGTATTTCCTCCGTAATTTTTATTCTGCAGGTTTGGCATGTTGCTGATATTCCGCGGAATGATAAATTCCAGTATACATATTTTGCACATAAAATAAACAGCTTTGACACTGCCCCTAAAAACATGTTGGCATCAGACTCTCGTTTACGTCCAGATAGATATGCACTTGAGATGGGTGATTTATACAAAGCTGGGGCAGAAAAGAGCAGGTAGCTTACCTTTCCTTTCATTCCCCTTGTGCCCGAAAACATGATAGGTCTTTCTAAAAGGAATACAAGTATAAAACTGAGTAACAGTTTTACTTGGTCAATGTTGTCTTCTGTAATTATTCACAATATTTATTACAACAATGTGAGGGTAAGTCTTGGAACAACGGTAAGATTGTTCCTTGTGATCAGAAGGTCACAAATTTGAGTCTTAGAAACAATCTTTTTGCAATAATGTAAGGGTAAAGCTGCATATAATCGATCCTCACCCCTACTGATAGGAATTTATCCCCTCCTATCAGCAAAAGAGGGAGACAATTTGTATATTAATGGAAATATAAACGATTACAGAACTATTGCAATAGAAAATGATAAAGAGCCAAAGCTCCCAGCTATGGAGACCCCTCCATTAGCCCTTCTACACCAGTAGAAACTGAACAGAATAATGCCTACCTCTTACTCACGCTCTCCACTCCATATAAACGTCTAAAAGTAATAACAACCCATAACAAACTATCCCACTCACTCTCTCACCATAACTGCCATTACAATGCTGATAAAAACAACTCATTACACGTCACACAATCTCTCTTTCCTTATTCCTATTCTTCCTTTGATAAACCAATATTGGATCAGCTTTTCTCTACTTGGGCTGCTCATTTCCTCCTTCGTTTGGGCCTGCTGTTGATGGGCTGCTACTGTTATCAATACCACCCTCTATAGCAACTGCCTTGTCCTCAAGGCAAAAATTTGGGAACTGCCCTTTAAGATCATTGACTTTCATCCAGGTAGCCTCTTCAACCGGTTTGGATTTCCAAAGAACCAACCACTCTTCATTGGAATTGCTCCCCTCCTTGACACTTCGCACGGCCAGCACTGATTCCGGCTCATGAATGTTGGTGTCCTCTACAGCCAACGCATCTGGTAATTCTCCTCTAGTTGTCACAGAACCGATGGCCTTCCTTAGTTGCGACACATGAAAAACAGGGTGGATACGAGACCCTTCAGGAAGCATCAGCTTGTAAGCCACAACCCCAATCTTCTTAATTACCTGGAATGGACAATAAAAACGCGCAGCTAGCTTGGGATTAATTCGTCTAGAGACTGACATCTGCCCGTGTGGCCTTAATTTCACATAAACCCAATCTCCAACAACAAATACTAAGTCCCTACGGTGAATATCTGCCTGTTTTTTCATAGAAGACTAAGCACGGACCAGGTGGTACTTAAGTCGGCGTAAGGCCTCATCTCTGTCATACAGAACTCTAGACACAGCGTCCACCTGAGTTTATCCCACCAAATAGTGTGTAATATTGGGAGGAGGGCGACCATATATAGCAGTAAAAGGAGTAGTATCAATTGAACTATGATAAGAAGTGTTATACCAGAATTCAGCCCATGAGATCCATAGTGACCAAAGCTTGGGCTGCTCAGAAGCAAAGCAACGTAAATATGTTTCAAGACAATGATTTACCACCTCGGTTTGGCCATCCGTTTGAGGATGATAGGAAGTGCTCATCCTTAAAACAGTCCCCTGCAATCTAAATAATTCCTTCCAAAAATTGCTAAGGAAAAGGGGGTCACGGTCACTTATGATAGACCTGGGTAATCTGTGAAGGCGAATCACTTCTTTAACAAATAACTCAGCAATGTTTTTAGCAGTAAAAGGATGTTTAACAAGAATAAAATGAGCATATTTTGATAAACGATCCACTACTGCTTAAATCACCTCATACCCTTGGGATTTAGGCAACCCGGAAATGAAATCCATGGAGACGTCCTCCCAAATCAGTTGAGGAACCGGTAGTGGTTGGAGAAGCCCAGCAGGAGTCAAGGTTTGGTGCTTATTTTTTTGACAAACATCATAGGACTTCACAAATGCCATAACCTGTTTGTGCATTCCCTTCCAGAAAACTCCACTAGCAAGTCTTTTAAATGTTCGAGTAAAACCCGAATGCCCTCCGGTGGGAGATGAATGAAATTCCCTCAACAATGCAGGGAAGAGAGAAGATCTGGAAGATAAAACCATGCGCCTCTTGTAAAACAACAACTCTCCCTGCAACAAATAATCAACAGGAGCATCTTGACCAGATTGGACGGCTGTTATAATATCTTGCAGCCATGGGTCAGATTTGTACTCATCTTTGACAATACTCGGATCTAACCAGTAGGGGCTGGATACCACGCTAGACAACTCAAGATCCGTTGGCTCCATCATTCTAGAGAGTGCATCAACGGCTTTATTTTCAGGCCCAGGTTTGTATATAACCTAAAACTGATATCCCATTAACTTAGATAACCAACAGTGCTGATCAGAAGTAGTAATCCGCTGAGACAATAAATGCTTTAAACTCTTATGGTCTGTATACACAGTAAAGGATCGCCCCAAAAGGTATGGACGCCAATGTTGAATGGCAAGGGTCAAGGCCATAATCTCTTTCTCATACACTGACTTTGCAAGGTTCCTTGGAGCAAGAGCCTTGCTATAGTAAGCAATGAGTTGTTTTTCTTGCATCAAGACAGCACCTAAACCAGTGCCAGAAGCGTCACACTCAATTACGAATTCTTTAGAGAAGTTAGGAAGAGCTAATATCGGGGAAGACGTAAGAAGCTCCTTCAACTGGTCGAAGGCTGCCTTGGCAGCATCATTCCAATCAAAACCGTCCTTCTTGGTGAGCTCAGTCAGTGGTTACGCAATCTTACCATAGTCTTTAATGAAACGCCGGTAATAGCCCGTTAACCCCAAAAACCCACGGACTCCCTTAACATTCTGTGGCTGTGGCCACCCAATTACAGCTTGAATCTTTGAAGGGTCCATGGCCACACCTTGGAGTGAAATAACATGGCCCAAATACTCCACAGATTCTTCACCAAAGCTGCACTTCTTCCGTTGAACCATAAGGTGATGTTCCTGCAACAAAGATAACACCTCTGTCAAATGGCATAAATGAGTTTCCCAGGTGGGGCTATATACAAGAATATCGTCAAAAAACACTAAAACGTGTTGACGAAGTTTTTCCCGGAAAACTGAGTTCATGGTGGATTGAAAAGTGGATGGTGCATTTGTTAAGCCAAAAGGCATAACAAGATACTCATAATGCCCATCATGTGTACGGAACGCGGTTTTATGAGTATCCTCAGGCCTTACCCTTATTTGGTGAAAACCCGATTTCAAATCAATTTTAGAAAAGTACCTAGCACCATAGAGTTCGTCCAGCAACTCATTAATGGTAAGGATGGGGTACTTATCTGGGACGGTGACTTTGTTCAAGGCCCTATAGTCCACACACATCCTCCACGTACCATCTTTCTTCTTAACTAATATAACGGGACTGGAAAAAGGGCTGACACTGTGTTTAATTTCCCCTTCCTACAGTAGCTCCTTTACTTGCCTTTCAATCTCATCTTTGTGATGATGAGCATATCGATAGGGCCGAACACTCACTGGACCCGTGCCTGGAATTAAATTGATGGCGTGATCGTGTTCTCGAAATGGGGGTAGCTCTGGTCTCTTGTTGAACACACTCTGGAACTGAGTAAGTACTTGTGTAAGGGCCACTTGTTGCTCCCCTGTCAGATGCGAACATATGGGGTTATCGGACTCACTTTCCTCCCTTTTGGCTACCGTCCCTGCCTCATGCAGCAAACCTTGCAGAGCTACGGGTAGAATTCTGGCACGTATTTGGTATCCTCGAAGCAGAATCGTCCTCCCCTGATGGGAAAATTGCATCGTCTTCTTCTTCCAGTCTTGACACACCTCGCCTAGCGTCTCCAGCCACTCCATCCCCAAAATTAGGTCAACACCACCCAAATCCAAAAGATAAGCTCTTATCGTCAGTTGGTGCCTTCCTAAATGGAGGTTGAGCTCAGTACATCTTCCTCTTGATAACCTCCGGCTGCCGTCTCCCAGACAGACGCTGAACTCTTTGGTATTTTTGACCGACAGATTAAGCGAATCGACCAACTCTGGAGCGATGAAATTGTGGCTTGCTCCGCTGTCGATCAGTACCAGTACTGGGAACCCCTCCAATTCGCCTTCGATTTTCATCGTCTTCGCTTGAACCACCGCGTCGGGTCCCTGTTCACCGCCGCTCTCCTTTTCACAGTTGACATGATTGCACACCATCTCCCATCCTTCTGTGCCCTCTTTCTCTTTTGTATTGGTGAGATCATTTGAGTCCCCTATGACGTCGTCTTCTTCCCAGATTAGTAGACAAAATTGCTTATCTGGGCATTGGTGGGTTGGGCTAAAATTTTGCCCACATTTGAAACAAGTGTTAAACTTAGAGAAATTGGGATAAAACCTTATGTTCTCCTCTGGAGAATTCTCATTTAAATAGTATGATATAATTACACAATCATAACTATACAATCATAACCTACAGCTAGCTAATTAATTAAGGATATAATTACACAATCATAACCTACAGCTGGCTAATTAATTAAGGATATAATTACAAATCATAACCTACAGTTGGCTAATTAATTAAGGATATAATTACAAATCTGCACAAATAATGCCAAATATTCTGCTCATCAATTCTATTGACATCCCCCCTCAAATTGATGCTGGTGAATCTACAAGCATCAATTTGCTGACGAGGAAATTATGTCGTTGACGTGTCAAAGACTTGGTGAGGATGTCAGCTAGTTGAACAGATGTTGAGACATGAGGTAGAGTGATAATTCTACGGTCATAAGCTTCCCTGATTGAATGACAATCGACCTCTATGTGCTTTGTTCTTTCATGGTATATAGGATTTGCTGCAATCTGTATGGCACTTGTATTATCAGCATACAACAGAGTTGGTGTTGCTTGTGAATAACCAAGTTCTGAAAGAAGACCCCGTAACCAAATAATCTCAGAGCATGCTGCAGACATGGACCGATATTCTGCTTCAGTGGAGGATTTAGAGACAGATTCTTGTTTCTTGCATTTCCAGGAGATAGGGGCATCTCCTAAAAACATACACCAGCCAGTAGTAGACTTCCTTGTGTCGGGA